TAATTGTTGTACAAGTGGGCGTTTTTGGTTTTTGAGATGTACGGCCGTCGTTATGGAGGAATTCGAAGAACGAGAAACGGTTGAAAATGGTCGAAACTTTTGATGCAACACAGCCGCTGAATTAATAGGGATTATATATATTTTTTAAAAAGTGAAATCCCGTTTCCCCCTCGTGGGGCATGGGGCGAACACATTTCTGTGTCCGTTTCACTGATCCTTTTTTTAACGGGCAAGTAGTTGAACTGACTTCTGACCCTACCTGACAGAAACAATTTTTATTTCCCTGGGATTCGAATCCAGGACCTCCCGCGCTTAACGCAATGCTAGGCAATACGTTTAACCGTTTGGCTACAGAGGCGGTCTAAATAAAAAAAATAAAACTGACTTAAACTTGCGAAACGGGAAAGATAAGACAATCACGGTTCCCAGGGAATTCTAATAAAAAGCAAATTGGGTATCGTGATCCGTGTACGTCGACACTCGGTACCTGCCTAAAAGCGTGGCATGTCCAAAGATAAGACGCTCCGGCGCCGACGCCATAGAGTGTTTAATCGGGTTAATTTATCGATAATTGACGGAAAACCTTTTTGTTTGTATTGCCGGGAAGTAACAGTAATTGTCACGCCTTTTAAGATTTACGTCCGCTCCTAAATTGAGACATTAACAATCGGATCTCGTGCCTAATGGCTCGGAATGAATTTATTTGTTTTAGTCGAGCCGACTCTGATAAATTTGATTAGGCCATTATGAAAAGAAGGCTTTACTTTTAGTATTATACATAGCACCTATCTAGTTTTTATCGTTAAAAAAACCTGATTTTGTTAAGAAGCTTTTGTACTTTAATGATTAAAAACTTCATTATTTTTCACATGTTACAGCATTTGGAATAAATTAAAAACCGTGTTATCGTGTCGATTGGCTTCGCTGTTATTCTATTAACGTGTGAACTGCTTAAATTAAAAAGAAAGTTTAAAATAACCAAAGCGGTTGAATTTACGAGTAAATAGCAAATAACAGTACACTTAATTTATACTATACACTATTTTGAATACAGGTTAAAAGCTATTTAAGGCTTGAATTACGTATGAGATGAACAGCCTTAAAATTCACTTACGGGTCACCTTCGCTAAATAGATGTCTCTGTATACAAGTTTTTATTCAAATCAAACGCAATTGATAACATTCTAATATAACCACGTCCACGAGTGAGCGGCGTCACGTCGTCTAAATGAATTATTGTTGGCTTTAAGTACATGAAACGATGAGTTCGAAGCAATCAGACGGCACCCGCGGCGAGGGCCACGTAAAAAGGTGTCCAAACGCCGGGGGGGCGAGCCGTTGCGCTAAGCGCGTACGCAGCCCCCAGTTTCAATTAGCACTGGCAAATTAACAAATGTGCTGATGTGATTAATAGCTTAACACTTTCTTCTGATGGAGGCGAAGAGAAACGCATAAGCTTCATTCGATGGTAGGCGAAATATCCCAGGAGTCAGTTGTTTACGCGAGGAGTACACATTTAAATAAAACACTTTAACGGTTTAAAACGTGGTATATTAGTTAGATTTATTTGGACACTATTTTAACTCGATGTTTCGGTGGCTTTGCGACTATATATATCGCGTTTTAAACCGTTAGCGTGTGTTATTTGAATGTTATATACCTTAAAACGTGATGCGCTCTCGTTGTTATTTAGTTTAATTGTTGTTTGTTTTGCTCTCGATCTATTTTGGCTTTGGACATTCAGAAATATTTAATTCTTACGAAAGACTTTAATCCGTACGAAAATTCCATAATACTAGTTTTTCTTTTTCACATTTCCTCCCGTGTCCTACACGTAATCATCGAATTTATACATCTCTGGCAAACGTGCAATAACATGTGAAATTATTAATATTTAAATTACATTTTAATAAACATGTTAAACCCTGAGGGTATCGAACTCATGCTCCATTTATAATTAGCCATACATTCCTACCACAGAACAAGACCGTAAAAAGTTTTTGATATACGAAGGCGGGAAGTTCCATAAACTATTTAGTTAAAAAACTATTTATAAATATATTTTTTATACTTAAATTTCATATTTTAAACTTCATTGAACAAAGTAGTAAATTTAATCTAACAAGTCACGTATGGAAAGCGACCTTTTATTTAATACACCGCTGGGAACCAATTTGGTGCTGTAACAAATCAATAAATGTTTTTATTTATTGGGAGCTATGTAGATTTGATTTGCTTTTTCAATAGCGGATCGAGGCGAGATCTTGTTAGTAAATGTCAAAAAAGCTGTAAAAAGTAGGACCCTATTCCGCAATCTCGGAGAGGCATTGCTTTGCGTTAAGCAAAAGAGGTTCAGGTTTGAATCTCGGAGACGGTCATTTGTAACACATTTATCAAAAGTCTTGATGCAAGTGTTGTCTGTAGTTTATGCAAGTAACAAAGTAATACACTACTGTAAATAAAACTCCTATAACGGTTTAAAACGCAAAATATATGAGTAAACTGCCCGACGCTTCGGATGCGACTGCAAACCATCCAACATCCATCCAACTGATATATTTCGCTTTAAACCGTTCAATATTTTTAATTTACAAAACACAATATATACTTAAACTTTATCATATAACACGTTTGTTTAAAAGTCATAAAAACTTAACTGTGTAAATAGATATTTAGGTAACGTGAGCTATGTTTTTGAAAGCGCCCAACTTACCGAAAAAAGTCAATCAGCGGCGAAGAATTGTAATTTATAGGAACGAAAATAATATAAGAATGCAATTAATCAAAATATGGTCAGTAGCCAGGGCCGCTCGTAACGCCTCATAAACTGATATCGATTTAGTTGATAAGTTGCGCAAGCCATTGTCCAAAACTGCTGAGTCATCATTAACAAAGGCAGTAGTGGGCTCCTTATTAAAATTTAGACGGTGTCGACGCGCCGCCCTGTTTTGATAGCTGCGCTCCACAAAATCATCGATAATTAACGAGATCGCACCGTTTGTAAAGGAAGCTTTTTAAAGCATAATGATTTTTATCTCTACATATATTTCTAATTGCTAAGAAATGGAATTTTTAAAGACTGTCTGTAGTTTACATATTTCAACATAACACTTTAAAGGTTTAAAACGCGATATATATTAGTTACGGGAAGACCAGTGACCACGGCTACTGTAAAGCAATCGAAACGTCGGGCCTTAGTAAAAATAAATTTCAAATAAATTTAACTAATATATCGCGTTTTAAACCGAAAAAGTGTTTTATTTAAATAAGAGGACTTTTAATAAGACAAAAATAAAAAGACGTAAATCAAAACTACGATAGACGTCCTTGTGACCCGCATGCATGTGACATGCATGTTTGAGAGTTTCAACAAATTAACATCACCAGGGTATGTAAACGCGATTAAACTTGACGGATTATCATCTGAGTGGACGATGGTCCGTGACCCGGATACTTCGATATTCCTACCACCCCTTTAATTTCCACATTTTCAGACCAAGTCTGACATATTTTAGAAAAAATATAAATTGGAAGCATTTCGAACCCGATAGCCACACATGGCTACTTTTGCACCAACGAGCCCTTCAAATCGATTTTGTGCAACCGACCTATTGTCAATTACAACGTAATATTCAAACAATATCAATTATTTAATTACTGATTAAATACCAGAATAATTCCGAGCAACTTAATAATTACATAGAACAGAAATACCTACAAAGGAAACAATTTGATACTGCAATCTATATTTTTTACGCGCGATGGAATTTTGTAGTGATCTGAATTGAAAATGTAAGGCTGCGGTCGCCTATAAATGCTATATGTAATTTGTCCGCATACTTGCATGCAGATAAACGCTGTTGTAATTGAATATGGGTGTCGGAATAGATAAATATGTTGTATGTTTAGCTTTAGTAATTTGGTGTTAATTTCCAGTTTATATTATCTTTTTATTGTATAATTTAATTTTTTATGTTGACTTTTGATTGTTTTCCAAAATTATCTTTTTTATTTCTTATTTCTACATGCAAAGGTTGCCTGGAAGAAATCGCCATAGGCGATAAGGCCGCCTTTGCACAAACATGTTTTATTTTGTATATGTAATTCTATGTATCCATGTTCTTATGTCTATGTTTGTGCAATAAAGAGTTTATTATTATTATTATTATTAAATGTAGAAAACTCACAATTTACAATTCTTAAAGTGACCTCAACGTAAAAGCTTTTATAAAGAAATATCATTATACAATAACGAATTGGCAAATAGGCTTATAGTGAATTTATAATTTTCTAAAACAAGATGAACTCCGTCTGGAAAGTTTAAAACTCATTTGATTTCAGTCTGTGAATTTCTGAATATTCAAAGCAATAACCGGCCGCCATGAATCTTGTTGAGACCATAATATATAGCTGGAGTGTTTCACCTCGTCTATTATTAAACACATGTGATTCTAGCTTTGAAAAATTTAAGGCAACAGATCTATTCTAAGCCTAGAATGATTTCTAGCTCTAATAAACGCACAAATAAACGCAAGCGTCACTCTGTACGCCTGTGTTTATAGGAGACCGCGGCCTAACATGCCGCTACTCAGTTATGAAACTTAATCAATTTGGCCAGTTTCATAAGCACGCCCTCGTTTAGGCACGCGTCTCTTTATGCAGCCAAGCTATTGTGAACGTGATCATTTTGTAATAAATTCGATTTAAATTCTATTCGTTTTGTTTATTTTTAATATGTCTACCACAGACCTAGAATATAATAGACTGTACAAATCAACAATGAGTGAAATGTGTAAAGGTTTCCATTTCAAATTATGTTATGTGTGTATAACATTAAGTGGAATATTCGTTTTTTATATGGCAAATAAAAAAAATATACAATACAATGTAGATACATCTACTACTTAATTGGATTATAAACGTTTATATGTTTCCCATTTTATGCTGGCAATTTTTATAAAAATAATTCGTGTCTATCCCTTTTTAGCTCGCGCAGATACCGATCTCGGAGGCTCCACCATCAGCAGGTGGTCCACTCCGCACGCTTTGATAAACCGAAACCATCTCTTGATCTAATAGAATCAATCATAACTACATCGCCGTACAGGAATTTATGCGCAGAAGGCACAAAGGCGAAATACCTTGAACATTTGACATTTTATTACAAAAAACGCAAATCACTTTTTATTACAGAACAAAAAGAGGGTATATTATTAGTTTGTGTGAATATTACAAATCTTTATTTCTCAAGTGATTCTATGAATAATTTTTGAGCCAATTCAAATGGTTCTTAAGAATGAATGTAGTTTTACAAATTCATTATATCATTTACGAGCACAGGTAAATAACACTATGGTGTTTTATTCAATCTTTTGTAATTTAAAACTTAAACTATGGAGGGATAGTTTTAGATGGAGTATTATATTTTTTTAAATAAAACACTTTAACGGTTTAAAACGCGATATATTAGTTAATTAACGTTTAAACCGTTAAAGTGTTTTATTTAAATGTGTACTACTCGCGTAAACTATACTTAGACAGTATTTGATTATATTCTTTTTAATAATAGATACAAATAAGTAAGTTTATATGTATTGTTTCCAAAGATAAGGTTTAATAAGTAAGTAAGTATAAGACAAGTTGCCTAAGTATTCGAGTAAGTACGTTTTTTTTTCCAAATGCATATCAACGTTTGCTTTATTTAATATTACTTAAATATACACAAACACGTTTAACTTATTAATTTCTTTTGTTTTTGTAAAAATGTACAATGTTGAAAATTAGATTTAATTAAAAGAATATGTTCAAATACTTTTTGTGTTGTTATGGCTTTCCAGTACCACGACATAAGTTTTTAGTTTATATGCTTTACTGAGTTTTAAAACAAAAGCTTTAATTCTATAAAACTTCCGGAAATCATGTCGTTTACAGTAAATGCTCACGTATTTACGAATAACTCGAAGTTGCGTGCAATTTCGCATACGACGCAAGCATGGGTGCTCACCGCGATGGAGCAATTATTTTAAACACATTTCAACAAATGATAATGTCAAAGATAATATACAAATCTGCCAAATGAAAAGTAATCTTGAATAGCTCGATATAAGAACTATTTTACACCTCTTAATAGATGTTCTCGTTTTTTCTATACCAAGGAGTATTTATAGTTTTTACAGCAAGGCAAAACCTTTAAATAATAAGAGTGAATTTACGGTATGTTATTATATCAACTTTGTTTTGAATAATCTTATTTTTGCAACGTTCTGTAGATCATTGTAAGGTCTAATATGTGAAACAGTAGGAATCTTGACTTAGGCATATTCTATTCCAAGTTTATCCTTTACATTATAGAGGTAAACAAACATAGAACATTAAACATTTTATATCATTCGCGTCTTTAGGGCATTACTTCTGGAATTAACGATTTGAACTCACATTAGCACAATGTTTCCATCAAGAATGCAATCGTCTCCTAATCCGGTATCCAATGATATCGTAAACCAGAAATTGTCAAGAACCCGTTCCAGAGGCGATCTCGTGAACTGTTTTCTAGAGAAACTGTAATAGCAAAGCAATTCAGCCCTACACTTTTTTACAACGCGCGTAATTGTAGGACTGTGATCCTTAATTATTGGAGATAAGTTTCAAATCTGCACGAGACGGATGAAGTCGTTTGACATGTTTACGAAGTGATGCTATTCAGCTTTACCACAGAATGTGACTTTAAGGGCAATTATCGCAATTGGCTCGTTGGCCTCAAATCTAAAGACGCCCATAATGCAAACTGAGTCAAGTGGTTCACTGCTCTTGGGCCATTAAAAAGGTTTTGCTTTACACTGAAACCCGTTGTGAGCAATAATGATACAAAAAATCATTCCACTTAACGCGAGCGTTACACATTCCATAAAGCGCATTCAACGGTTTTAAACGCAAAATGTATTAGTTTAATTTAAATAAAATACTTTAACGGTTTAAAACGCGATATGTATTAGTTAAACTTATTTGACCATTTATATTTAGTCTGGCCATGACCACGGCTAGGTACTGCAAAGAATCCGAACGCCGGGCTGTAGTTAAAATACTTTAAAAATAAGTTTAACTTATATATATCGCGTTTTTACCCGTTGAAACTCTTTATTTAAGTGTATTACTCGCGTAAAATACAGACATTATTTACCTATATCAATTGATTTGTTAACTTACGATGCCTCGCATGCTCTACAGCAGCCATGTGTACGCAAATAGTTAATTACGTAACTAATATAGTTCGTACTGAATTGCTAAGTTTTATTAATGATTTAAAGAAGAAACATTCTTGTGGGTTCACAAAATATGTATGAGACCCGTGTCTTGAACTGTTCTTGCAGCATACGCAATTTGGAACCCTTAACCCAGATAAGCCTGAAACTAAAATTTTCTGAAAATTTTGAAAAAAGTTACATTATTTAGTTTATTAGATCTTATGCAACATAAAAAAAATTATGAAAAAAAAATAAAGTGTAAGGCTTTCAGGGAAACAGCCGTCCTATATGTAGGACAGTAGGATAATAAGAGGTAATAAAAGACCATTTATGACACAACAGAATGTAATCAAAAAGTGTAGTTTATTAGATAACTATTGATTATATTACCAAATTTACTAAATGAACACTATTTATGAATGATATGTTTCAAAACACTTGACACACACTCCAACATCACATTTCTTGCAACGTGTCAAACATTTTTTGTGACATTGACGACAGTGTGTTTGCTTCGATTGAGGAATAACCAGATGATTCATTTGGTCTTTACGACTATCAGCATGTTCATGATGGGAGGGTCGGCTAGGCCCTCTTTTGGCATTTTTTCTGTTTGATTCAATCAAAGCAATTGCTACCCTTGCAAGCCAAGATGATCCAGTTTTCCATGATTTATTTTATATAACTGCCATGCATTATGTTCGGCAAGATCAATCATGTGTGTGAGCAACGGCATGTACCATTTCTTACCTCGTATACCAATTCGGTAATGTGAAATATTTTCATCAGACCGATCCACTCCTCCCATATATTTGTTATTTATGGACACCATATGTGGTTCTTCTATGACAATGTTTCTCTTCTCCATGCGTAGGTACGCCTACGTTTAGTTCGACCTGTAGAATCAGAAGGTTCTTCTTTTGTATCACTCACCATAATCTGCCCTTGAATCATTACTTCAGCCGGTTGAAGCAGAATGTTTCGTGGCAAATTATTCAAAGTTACATTATCTTCTTCATTCGAATCTTCGTCAGTGAGACAGTCAGGATCAACAGGAGGAGGTAGAATACATATCAGTCGTTCTCTATAATCTTCTTCATTATCAGAAACAATTTCTAAAGCATCTAAAATTTCATGCGCAGCTAACGGTCTGTAAAGAAAAAGTTGTATTATTGTACTAAAATCATGTATATTATCCTACTGTCCTATATATAGTACGCTAGTATTTGTTACAAGTTATACGTAATTTATTTATATTATTTTGCTAGAATATTTATTTAGTACAAAAGTTAAGCTTATCAACTACATATTAACACAGAAAAAAACAACTCACGAGTAAAATATAACTTTTTATACATACCTGTCATTTGCCATGTCTGCAACGCAGTTTTATTACACACTTATAAGGTAAAATTTAAGGTAAAAACGGTTAAAAAAACTGTCTTTTTATTTTTTCTAATAAAGCTGACACGTTTCTTATTGCAAATCATAAGACTAAATAATCTTAGATAAAGAGGGTATTCTGATATTTTTTTTTATTTCTACTGTCCTAAATATAGGACAGTAGGCTTATCTGGGTTAAAGATGAATAATTTTCCCCGTTTCGAGTGGTTCTGGTGCTCCTCTTGGTAGCGTCGTTATGTTTTATAGCCCAAAGCCTTCCTCGATAAATACTTCATCATTTAAAGATTTTAAGTTGAACTAGTAGTTTTTGAGGTTAGGGCGTTAAACAAAATCTTCAGCTTTATAATACCTATTAGTAAAGATTTTTTCTTTAATGTTATCTTCAATATTCATCTTAATTTTGATTTGTCGAAAAAGTTTGTCTTATTTAAAGTTGAGACGTTTAAAAAATACATCTTCTGTGGTCAATGATAACTTTTCTAATTTAGCATTTAATTTTATTTTGATGACGTGAACAAATGAAGATGTGGACGACTGTAAAATAGATGTAGAGTTCGATCTCTTTTTTTAATTTTCAAGTAAATACGAGTACTATATTTTACACTTTCAACCTGGAAAGATAAGTTTTTATTTTCGATTGTTTAAGAGACGAGAACTCGGTTTTAATTAAATTACACCGGTAATGTGTTCTTTGACACTTATACGGCCGATATGCGCTAAAATATTGGTCGTCGTTATTATTTTAATTGCGTACATATATTTGTACTAATTTGAGCTTAATTTTTCGTATAATGTGACTTTAAAAGTAAAGAAATACGCCGTGTTATTTTACTTAATATCGGATGCTTTAAAAATCTGTTATTTAATATATTGCCAAATGTCTGATTCTCGAAAATTCTTAACGGCAGTTAACATTTAAGAATGCTATCTATACTATAATAATGCAATAATCATAAGTTTAAATTCCAGAATTAACAGACCGAAAGCGTCTTTTACATTAGTGGATAGTGTTTCGTAACCTAATTACAATATTCCAACCACCCATATAATAATTCAGATTTCCAGGCGAATCTAACATATTTCAGAAATATTTATAATTGATAAGAAACATGTTGGAGCTATTAACTATATTGAGACCTAGAGACTTAGATAATACAATGATACCAACGAGCCCGTAAAAAGATTCAAAATGTCAGTGGTTCTAAACCTTAGACAAAATTCTCATTTCCCATGCTTCGTTGTTCGATAATTTTTTAATCTAGGAGAAATTCAAAAGCCGTCTCGTGTTACACTATATCCGGTTCGGTAAGCCGACGGCCATCGCTGAAACTATTAGACCATATTCGGGCGAGCATTTCATTGGCTTTACCAACTAACCTCCAAAAGCGTATTGACATAGAACCCAACAAAAGTTCATTACACAGGCATTTTCCTAATTGGCTTTCGGGTGATTAGCGTCCGCCTAAAACGCCGATTGACCTTTTTACGGGCAAACACTCTTTAGTACATTTTAGACGTATATCTAAACTCATACAATGAAGCTGAAAATATAGTTTGTTTTTTGAACGCGCTAATCTTTCGGGAACTGCTGATTTTAATTGAAAAATAAGTATCTCGCGCACACAACGACGCAATAGGAGCGAAGAAACAGTGGAAATTGTAAAAAACGGGGAAAATTATTAAACTTTGGTTGGCTTTGTTGTTGTGTGTGCTTGAAACACCAACGATAAAAAAACTGTCTGAAAAAATAATTAATCTTTAAATGATTTTAATAAATGTCCGCAACAACATATATCTCTATTTCATTCTAGGATTAACTCGCAAGGATCGTTTTTTATGGTAATAAAGTTTGGTCGAAATAAATACATTGTTACTAACATATTATCTTGCAAACACCAAAACAAAGTTTGTATGAGCTGGTACTTCGTCCATAACGTCTTGTTATTTTAGTGTATTCGACTGTCCCGGGTTCAAATTCCTAGTAATTTATTCGTTGTTTAAATGTATTGTCTAAACAAATTTATAGTACCAGTTCAGTATTTAAAGGAAGGAAGTGTCATTACTGTTAAAGTAAGTAAACAAACACAAAATAAAGAAAAAATAAGATAAAATGCAGGTTTATTTTTTGCACCATTTCCAATTTTAAATATAGCAACACAACGTAATAATAAATAAAAATCAAGTATCATTATTATTATAATTACACAAAAGCAAGGCGAAGTTGGAAGTTGGAACACGCAAGAGCACCACACGCTTTGTAATTCAAGACGATCGCGAGCCGCGGTGCACCGGTATTGCGCACTAAAAATAGATGCATTAAAAAAAAACATTCGTCACAACGACATTCTAATCTGTGTGAGTCCTAATACTGTCTCTAGTCTCTACGCTTAAATAAAACACTAACTGTCTCAAACTCGGTATATATTAGTTAAACTTATCTGAAATTCATTTTAACTACGGCCCGGCGGGCCGTAGGTGAAATAGTTTTCGCATAAGTTTAACTAGTACATTTCGCGTTTTATACCGTTAAAGTGTTTTTAAATGGTTTTGGTTATTAGCTTCATAATGATTTCAATTAGGTGCATAAAAAGCATTCCTTGAAATATGTCTTTTGTTGTCGCAAGGGCGCACAAAGTTACAAGAAGTGAACGCGTTGCGCCGCGCTGAGTCGTGATCGCCCCAGGCTCTCATGATACACTCGAAGCGGGAAATATTTTAGCTCCCGACTTATACAAAATCTCTTGCCATACATTTTTAATTTAGGTCGGACTTAAAGACGCGAAAATATAATATCAGTACTCTATTTGGTCTAGTTGATATACTGCAGATCGCGAGGTACAGGTTATAAACCTAGTTTGAAAAGTAAGTAGGTAGTTGTGATTTGTCTGGTGTTAAGTATGCACAAGTCTACAAGCTACTAATGCCACATTACATTGTCGTTGTTAGAAACAAACACACAAATTATTAACGTAATTTCTCTTACTATAAAAATAGGCTTTAAGTATTTTCTGCAGTAATGTAACATTTAAAAATTAGAGAAATAGTAGTTCATTTTTAAATTAGAGCTCTTTAATTTTTTTATTTATTGTTATTCATAATTGATATGATTTTATTTACCTTCGGAAATCAACCGCTCTCGAATCTCCCACGCGAAGATCGTTGGGTTTTCACGCTTGTATTGCTCTATCTTGGAAACGACGGCTGGTGTTGCCACTTTCGGTTTACTTCCCCCGATCAGACCTGGCGGCCGAAGAGTACCTGTTCAATTTTAAAAACATTATTTAATAGTAATAAAATCCGTTAGACACCGTGTCTATATAATAATTGACTTTATTTAGAAGTAAGTTTGAGCTCGTTGTTGTAATGGTAGTACGGCTAATAATAAACGAGTCGTAGGTCCCACCGGGTCCAATATTTTTCTAATCCATTGATAATTTTTGTGAAACATGTTGGACTTCCGGGTCAAGCAACCGTCCACAAATTAAAATGCCGTGAAGTCTAATCACGTTTCAGTTTGTGGATTTCCGATTATCCAAAGACAAAATAGGCCTACAGCACATCTTGTTTAGATGCTATATGTTGGGGTATCTTACCATCGAGTCAACCTCATGCTTGTCTGTTCATCTCTATCATTAAAAAAAAATAAGTATATGATTATTCTTTATTTTCGCAATTCAAGCTGAGAACCTCTCATTCCTAACGCAGCGCCAAGAACGGCGCAAACAACATTAACATACAATTTTGTTCGTATTTAATTGTATGTTAAATTAATTGCCTTATATTGCGAAATTGTAGTTGTTACTTATTTTTGTTACAGTGATCCAACCCAAATGTTTAAAAAGAGCCTGACCCGCAACAGGTTCTGTTAATTATCTGAAAACAGTCATAGTCTAATTGCGTAAAATAAATTTATTTACAAACTATAAGTTATTATTTTTCTTGGTCTTATCTTATTTAAATTCCATTTATTTAAAATGTTGCAGTTAATTTGTTTTTTGACAATAGCTTAGTTTAAATAAAACACTTTAACGGTTTAAAACGCGATGTATTAAGAGTAACAAATAAGTTTAATTAATGTATATAATTTTAAACCGTTACAGTGTTTTATTTAAATCTGTACTCGTGTAAACTACTGACAGTATTTTATACATAAGTTATTTTTAAAGGATAGTAAGTTTTAGTAGATACTACATGTACCTGTTGATTTAGTGGTTGTGGTAGTTGGCAAAGAACGAGGTCCCATGATCAAAAATATCATCGCTTGTTGTTTTTTGGTTTCATCGAATAATATTACTGTTTTACATCAAGTACCTATTTAGACCTTGATGTAAAACAGTAATATTATTCGAACTCTCTCCGCGTCAATTCCAAACGCTACACGAATGTATAGATCGAATTCGATTCGATTTTAATGGTCATTGTTAACTTCCGACTGCCGGCACGAAGATGCCGATTTCAAAAGAAGTAGGTGCACATTGAAAGAGAAACAGCCGAGGTATCCGCGCAAAAAGCCAAAATCGAATTAAAGTCTATTATAAAAATACCAATAATAGCGACGCGATGCCGATTGATGCAATTTCATTGAGTGCTAAACGTGAGTAAACGCAGATTGCTTGTCGCAATGGCGTGCACAAAGATCGTTTGATTAATGAGCCCAATAAAATTAGAGCGTATTACGTACGCATTAGAGTTTAGATTACAAGGTAACGTCAATTCTAGGTTTTCAAACAAAAGGTGGACGTGCCATTTTTTTCAAAAATCGATAATCAGGCGCATCGTGCGGAATAACAATGGAAACTGCAAATTAGTATTAATTACAGATGCGTTGACATTGGAAAAATGAAAGAGTCGTTGCGAGATTAGAATTTGAAACAATATATCAAATGTATCAATATTCGTTAAAATCTTCTAACTTTTAAAACTAAACTTTAATATTTATCACATTTTATTGCACATGATAGCACCATATATACATGTTAAAAATCGATTATAATTCGTAAAAAATGCTGTTCCTCTAACTAGGTTGCTCTTTAGGAGTCGGTTACAGTACAGTATCCTAATATTGTCGGTAATATGCAAGTGGTTCATATAAAATAATATCGCTGGTCTAAAAACTATCAAACCAATATAGTTCGCGTTTTAAAGCGAAAACTTTAAATGATATTTTAGTAACATTTGTTTACGATATATATAAAAATCACCATGATAGTTATAAGTTTTTCTTTAAATAAATTACCATATAATTTTACCGTGTTTCTTAGATTTAAATATAATTTTTGCATAGTAACAGTAATGTATTTATATTTAAACAACCAATTAGTAATTCTTTATAAAAGAGTAATTTTATTAGTGTAGCGGGTATAAAATGTAAGCTAAATACCGGAACCATTTTAAAAATATATATAAGTTTAGTTTCGTCTAATGTTTATATTTTGCAAATTAATTCCGCCTGGGAGCTTATCGCGCGTTAAACTCTAATGTATTAAGAAATTTCTCAAAGTAGTCCACTCTTGGAAAAAAATTATTTGTTTCAACCTGTTATGGTTACAATTTACTGGGCACACAATTTCTCGTCGTAAAAAATACTTTGAACTGTTAGAAAAGTAAAACATCTGAGGTATGGCAATGAAAACACATATTTTTAAAGTCTCGGCTGGTACGCGTATTATATATTTTCTTGGAATATTTTAGAATTGCGAACGTATTAATTTTTTGCGAATTTATTTATTTCTTCTATTTTAGTAGCTGTCACTCATATACAACATAAGTAAAATTGTATAAAAATTGATGGTCTGACTGATAATAAATTATTATTATCTTTCAACATTCGAGAACCACTCATCCAACGAGTCAGCTACAATTTATCGCATACAAATCTTAAACACTATAATAATCGAGTTGCTACCGCTTTCATTATTCAGAAAAACGTGTCACCACAACAGACCTTAAGATTTGAAGAGTGCGAGAAAAACTAGAAGCGTATTTTAAATTCACAATAAATTAACCTCGACGCGGGCTAGGTAAAAAGCGATTGGGTCCTGTAATTCCTAAATCAGTTAGATAAAGGATGAGTGCGTGCTTCGGGACAATTACATAAAAAGGCATCAGACGTTGCATTCCGGCAGCCGGCATCGCGGACCGTTTTTACTTGCGCCGAACAGCGGCCCTCCATACCGATCACGCTGAATTATTCATCGCATTATTTATACTCTCATTTTTGTCAACGCCATTCAAGATAAATTCATACGGGTCTTTATGTCTTGATATAAGTAAAGCTTAACGCCGAAAAGGGCGATCCGTGTAAAAAGCAAGTCCCAGTTTACACGGAGCCAACGCCGACCATATTAGGCTTCATTACATTAATCCAATACAGTCACTTAGCTATTATAAACGACCAGTTACAACAACAATATTGAAAGAAAATAGTGCCTCGGTGTTTTGTTATTCCCAATAATGCGATATACGGAAGAAAATCCCGTGTTCACAACAACTCTACATGAATAAGAATATCGGCGAAAATATATCTCTTAATCTGTAATTATTTCTAACTATATTATGCGACAAAAAATTTAATTATATATTACCAAATATTTTCAATATGACGATGATCTATAAGTACACTGCACTAATCCCTTATAATAAGTTTTTCTATGTTTATCCTATCTGTATCTTTTCAGAATTAAAAAAATCTTTTTTAAACATCTCAATTATAAAAATAAAGTGAATATACGAAAAAAAATATTTTTAAAATTTTAAATTGTTAGCAGACACTTCTTAGACAATAGAAATCCATACTGATCCTTTTTCTACGCTCCGAACTGTAGCATAAAATTACGTCTAAGTTTATTCAAACTGTTTTGTAAATAACTACATACACTAAAGACATTCGTACAACTAAATCAATATCAGCGATAATAACGTCTCAGGAAATTGGAAGTGACAGCAGGGTTTGCAAACCTCTGGCCCTCTAGCGCACATTTTCCAACGTGATCAAGAATCGACATCGCCTTTCACTGTGCACTGTAGTTACTTGAATGATTGAAAACCTATAGCGCAGCCTCAGCCACTACCAGCTCTTGATTGATAGGTAAATTACTGGATGCCGGCACGCTGATCATTTCGCGGTAATTAAATCTATACTAATATATATAGCTGAAGAGTTTGTTTGTATGTTTTAAACACGCTAATCGCAGGAACTTCTGGTGGGAATTGAAAATTCTTTTCAGGTTAGTTGAAGCATTCATCGACGAAGGTGATAGGTTATAAACCATCGCACTGTGATGAATAGAAGACAAGAAATACCGGAAAGTATGGAAAAATATGGGGAAAATTCTTCATCTTGAAATTATCTAAAAAAATGTTCACGACAGTATGCCTATCTTTTAAGATTGACCTGAAAGAACGAAGGGACGCGGGAGACGTCGAGGCTAACAGCTTAAATTTATAGCATTGCAAAAACAAATTAATTGCCCAAAATAACTATTCTACGCGAACAAAGTCGCTGACACAGCTAGTCTAGTAGAAACATAATCGCATGACCGAAGCCAATTACTCAACGTTGCCTAGGCAGATGAGGTGTGCTCTGCTGAAATTGCTGATATTAATGAAACGGCGCGTGATTCGATACCGTGCTTCTACCGTTGTAGGCTTCAGTGCGCTCTAATTTCTAAGATTATATATTATATATTACAAATTATAGCTCTAGCTAGATCGTTCTAGCATCCTGGGTAATAACAATACGCTTTGGTACTTATGCATTTGGCACGTTATTTGTTAGTATTTCTCTGTAGTTAATACACGAATAGACTACAGAAAAGAATATACTAATAAAACATACTTAATAAGTCAATTAATTGAAATATTTTTAAAGGTTCGAAATCTCTAGTTATATTTATGGTTACTTGACTTGCCAAATTAAAATAACTAATAATACATAATATTTCACGTTATAAACAGTGTTTTTTATTATATACTTTCAATTCACTACTCATCATGCTACATCAAGCTATTAAAAACAAAACATGACCTTAAATTTACATGAATTCATAATAGTAGTAAAACTCATTGTAATTTTCTTTATCCATGTTAAGTAAAATATTAGGAAAGATCCAATTTTCTTCAAGGAACTACGAACAATAATAATATTGACGTTGTTTAACAAAGTAAGATAATTAATCATTAGCGGAGACCGAATACCAAGGATTCAAGAGTACAATGCAAGCCCAAAACATCAGTTAATAAATATCCATACAACGGTCATTTATGGGCGCTTAAAGCCATTACACGGTGCCTCCACAAAGAGAAACAAGACCTTTTAAGCGGCGCGGAAAGGCTCGAGTTCTGTTGATTAAATTTGTATTAATAAAACCGGCACAGTGTCAGTGGGACTAGGCACGAAGGGTTCCTTCCGTACCAACTAACTAACTAGTTACACAGTTTTCACATTGCACCTTTTTTTAAAGGTTTAAAACGCGAAGTATATTACTTTACATTCATTTAGCTACGGCCGGACGTTTTGCATGCTTTGCAGTAGCCGTGGTCACGGGGGTCTAAAGATAGAGAAATGTTAAAACTACGCCACGTCCTACCTGATCAGAGATTTGTGCTGATTTGATCACAGCCGCTGCAATAATCCAAAACGTCGGGCCGTCGTTGAAACATATTAAAAATTTATAGTTCATATATTTTGTGTTCTAAATTTTTATCGTAACTGTTTCTTAATATTGTCTAAACATAGTAAAAAAATAATGTTTCTTTTTTACTTTCACAGACACAATGTTGGAAAATTTGAATTATCTAGCAATCGAGTTTTCTAGTAGGCAGGCAAAAAAACAGCGCAATCTTAGTAAATAAAATAGTCCCGTTTTACTGTTTGAGAAAGGAACCCTAAAAAGTGGCTCTTTATATTAGATGGCGCTAACCACGGCGAAACTGCCGCGTCATGCAGTTAATAGATCAAAATCTTTAACGGCAAAGTGGTGTGGATAGCGCGGGTTTATAAAACCAAATGCAACCCGTGTGCTAACGATGCCTCATTCGGTGATTGATCGACTTTTTTGCTGTACACGTGTAAAATGGCGTCGCTCCTTCAGAAGCTTGTTAATGGTTTGAGAATACAATGTCAATTTTAGGTATTCCACTTATTTGTAATTGTTCGATAAATGTTAAAAAAATCTAAACAGTTAAAGGTTTGATTGAATAATATAATTATTCTTTACGGTTTCCATATATTTCTTAAGTATGATGTGTATAGATGATAATAGTTAAGCAGTTTAATTTATTTTTAGTAATTTTGTGTCTTATGTTTGGTCGATAGAGTTTTTTTTTATTTGATAGAATCTTGATGCTCTGTTTTACTCGAACTATTTCAAACCTAGAACCTCTAGCTCTTAACAAATTTTACCATTCATGATTGTGGACAAAAATAAAATAAATGAATTAATAAATTTCCAACAACCTTCCTCGAAAATAGCGTGTTAAAGGATTCCCTCAAAGCTATCATTACAACGAAATTCAAACTTAGAAATCATTCCTGTGGTCCGGGCCATTAAAAATTCAAATTAACCTACGAGAATTGGAGCGGAAAAAGAAATGCATACGTTCTCTAGAATGTCAACTTGGATAATTCAATTTTGATTATAGGAGCAAAGCTTAAATATGGCTTCATTACGCGCTGCGACGACCCGCAGACAATCATCCTGAGTGCCTATCATTAACTACTACCAAATTTTCATATATCGAAATAAAATGAGCAGTTTATTTTCAAATTACAGTGATTTAAAATTCTTGAATTATTTTCAAACTTTACCACAGACAGATGAACACAAAACGTAGGTACGTACCGTATTATGCAATGCAAAAGATTACATCTTAATTGTAAAGTGATAGCTAAAACATAGATGTTGAGTTATTCCTCCTTTTTTCTTTCTTACCTCTTTGCTGATGATGAAGAAAAAAAAGAAAAAGTTTTAACGCATTTTGAAATTGGAACACAATTTATTCGCCAGATTGTTATTTATGCGTGCCCCTTTCCAGGCAGTTAGCTAGAGTTATTCGAGCTAGATAATGACTTTTGAACTAAAGCTATGTGCCTGTTAAATACATAAGTGGTTTTACATGAGGGCCCTGGGCGGTTCATAGCCAGGCTTCCGTGGGAACCTGACACGTGACGTTACGAAACTACCACGGGCGAAAATTGATTGACAATACACTCCGGTACGTATAATTTTATCAGTATTAGGCGACAGGCTTGTTTATATTGACTGAAATTAAAAGTAAAATATACGTTACGGTGTATTATAATTTTCTGAGAATAACAAGAGAAACTCAAGTATGTTGTAAATTGTTAGTTTAGTCTTTGTACACGATTCACGTGGTTTTGTAATATTTTCCAATATATCAATCACAGACTTCATTATGACAATAACTCACACGTAAAAAGAGAGTAAGCGTATTTTAATTATATAACAAATATATTTATAAATTTTACAACCAAGTGACTATATATTTCTAATTATGTAATAAAAGCGAAACAATTTGTTTGATACGTTTTTTTTTTGTTTCTCTAGACACGTAGTAATATTAATATAAAGAAAATATATATTTCATCTTATCTTTTTGTTAATAACAATATTTAGTATAAAATATTATAATTCCCTCACTTAGAATGTTAATGTGTACTAACACAATGTTAAATTTTATTTCAGCTCACGAGTAATAGAAATTAAAACGATTTTCATTAGAATAGATAGGTCCTATGAGAAATAAATCAAATTTTATTACAGCCCCGAGTGGCCATTGCATTGAAGTCAAGTCAGAGATGAAGAAAACCTGTTGGAATACGTATAGTGAGAGTCGCCTATTATTCGAGAGGTCTAGGGTTTGAATCTCGGTAAAACAGGGTCTTATACACATGCCTATCTATCGCATGAAACGGACACAGAAATGTATCCGCGCTACTGTAATAATATGCCTAGCCGCGACACTGCGTTTAAAATCGTCCTTTCAAGAATCCTGAACAAACACAAAGTGTGTCCTAATTGTAGTATTTCTATGCAACGACAAAGGTGCTGGTCAAATTAACAATACACCTGCAAGTGTCAGTTACAATTCTTGGTACAGGCTTAACTTCAACAGCTGGAATATAATTATCTATTAGCTGTTAAGAAGTCAAATGTGTTATGTTAGGCCGTCTCTGTAATTTTGTAGTATTTTATTTAAAAGTAAAATGATATTGTATGGTAGTATTCAGTTTTACAGGATCACTATTAACTAAATAGTTAATAGTGATCCTGTAAAACTGAATTTAAATAGTTTTAACAATTATGTACACAAATTAACATTTGGTTTGACGCAAGTTGCATTTGAAAATGTTTGAACGTCTAACGAACGATTAGGTATTTAGTACCCGCCTCTGGGCATAAACAGTATAACACGTCAGCGTCTTCGCCCGAGTAGAATAGTTATTTTGGACATCAATTTCTTCGCTCCTATTAGTCACTATCATTCTTTCATACACAATGTTTAAGTATCTTGAACCGTTTTTGCAGCGTACGCATCTGAAACTTACAGAGATGAAAAATTTCCCCCGGTTCGTTCACATTTCTCGCTGTATCTTCGCTCCTATTACTCACATCGCAATGTGTTATATCTTATAACCTTCCTCAATAAATGCTCTAACTTTTTTAATTCGAACCCGTACTTCCTGAGATTAGCGCGTTCAAACAAACAAACAAACTCTTCAGCTTTATATATTAGTATAGATTTATTTATTTCACACTTAGGTACACAAAACAGAACTTACAGATACTATGCAATCTAAAACTATAGAGTGTACCGGGCGGCCTTATCGCTGTAAGCGATGTCTTCCAGACAACCCGAGTAGAAAGGAATTTAATAATAATTAAAACTAGACAGTGTGTATAGATGTAAAAGATTCTGGATTTTAATTCTAGAAAAACTTATATTCCGTCAGAACATAGAAAACTAAAACAATCTCTATTTACACGAAACAGGTACAATACAAATCTGCTTGAATCCCTAAATAAATTAATATACATATTAAGTGCAGAATCAGAAATGGTCTGCTTTTGTTTATTGTTTATTACAATAAAATAAAACACCATTTCTGATCCAAAATATGCTTTCAACAATTCAGTATCACCGTAGATAGTTCGATATCGAATAAGATTCGAATCGCATACGCCCGCGGCGGTCCAGTACGCATATATCCGCAGCGCAGTGGCTTATAATTAACACGCTCCAAGTCTTATGAATCGATTATGATCTAAGCTTTCGTCAATAGCGGCTCTCGTCGATCGCTTATCGTTGATTAATTGCAATCGAGAGTTTCGCCAAGACCTATCATTAGAGTAAGAAACACAGTCCTGAATTCGCCTTCGACAAATCACCGATACTCATTTAGCTCCACAATCTTACCTTTAATGGTAGGGTTCGCGCGTTTTATTTAAATAAATAAATCGTACCATAATTAATTGGTGCCTAAACAATGGATATTTCGCGTGGGTTTCAAATAGCTTGGAACGAAAGGTCTTTTCCTAAATATCGCTTGTATTAATACGACGCTGTACGCTATAAACACTGAGTGTGTTAATTGCAGAGGAAACGATACCCAGTAGGCAGAGATTTATCAATAATTATTGTCTCCCTTCGAGCACTCAGCTTTTATGCGTGAATGCGAATGTTCTTATTAATTTCAAGTAGTTTTTTGTTCTTTGTCCTGTATTACTAGCTGTGCCCGCGACTTTGTCCGTGTGAACAGTTATTTTGGCTCAGCTTTAAGAAGCTACTATGCTTCTATATATGTCTATCTCAAAAGGTAGACATATACTGTCCAAGGCTTTTTTAGATAATTTGTACTATTCCTACCAAAATAGAGAAAGTCTATGAAAAAAATCGTAAGTTTAAATATGGAACGATATTCGCTAAATTATTAAGCTTACCAAGAAGCTTGGTAACAGCACCTTGCTGAGACAGCACATGATGAGCGATGTCGTAGTGCCTGAGCCCGAAACGCGACAGCTCGAGCAGCCGCTGTTGCGAAAGAAGTGACGAGAGCGGATGTGACGCGCCACCTGGATACAAAGACGTCGAACCACCCGACGATGACGGCGACACTGGAACTGGAATCAGAAAAACAAATGATATATTTCGTATATAGCCAAAATAGGACACCTACCATCAAATAAACCAAATGCTTGTCTGTTCTTCTCTGTCATTGAACAAATACGAAATAAACCAGAAGCAAAAAGTTTAATCAAATTATTAAATATGCTCATGGATCAAAGAACCATGCGTTGGACAGCAGTGGATTAAATTAGATTAGATTAAAAGAAATAATTTAATAAAACACTAGTATACTATAATTTGATTACTGTGAGAAACAATAAGAATTACTTTTATATTAATTAAGACTATGACGAATATTACAATAAAGGCTTTCAAATAATTTCAGTAAAATATTTATTATGTAACAAAGTATGGGTAATCTACGAGTCGTGGGTTTGATCTCCACTAAATAGGTGGTGGGAATATCGTTTATTCTCTCCGGGTTACGAACCACCGCCTACAGATGATGGAGCCGTAGAGTTTAATCGCGTTTCGGTTGCAATCCTTGGACCTCCGAATATCCAACCCTCCGAAGCCAAAATCAGCTGACAGCGCAACTTAAAAAGATGTAATATGACGGGTAAATACTGTCTATAGTTTACGCGAGTAGTCTATAGTTTACACATTTAAATAATACACTTTAACGGTTTAAAACGCGATATGGGGGAGTCGTGACCACGGCTGCTGCAAAGCATCCGAAACGTCGGGCCGAAGTTAAAACTCATTTTCAAATAAGTTTAACTAATATATCGCGTTTTAAACCGTTAAAGTGAATTTCCTTTGTCAAACCACATAGTAAGCTTGTAATGTCATATCGGACAAACATTTATTTTTTGTTAGCAAGCAATTAAAGTTATCCAGAATAAAAATAACATGCAAAGGTCGTAACAATGCTGTCTTATGAACAAATCGTAACACGTTCAATTATAAATTAAGCTATTAACTTAATATACAATAATTTGTTTATCAGGTTAAGCATCGAAATTAATGCAAGTGGCATAACTTGTTCATAACTTAACACTTTTTATTAGCGAGTCCATAAGGCGATTTCATCCAGAAGGGTATTAAAGACTAATATTTCCGTCGCACACGAAAACGGGCTTTATTAGACGATATTAAGGTCCATAATAGCCTGTTTTCGGCCTCTATCGAGCACTTAGGACTGGACTTCGACGTATAATTTCTGGTGTAATCGCTTTAATAATGGGAGAAAAAAGTGATATTATCTGCCCACGGTCAATAAATTAACACCGTTTAGAGCGAAAATGTAGAGTCTTAGCGTCGCTACTATTATAAATAAGGGGAGGTGGAACGAGTGGAGTCGAAGAGATCGTTCGTGTCAGTGAGTGCGTGTATGCTTTTATTTGGGCGCGCGAGCAGTGAGGCCTTATTAAAATATTTCGAGTGGAAACTGGAAGGACCACTTAGTGCGCGGGAGTTTCACGCCCGAGCTGATACAACATTAAGTCGACAAGATAGCTTATTTGTGCTGAGCTGGGGATTAGGGCCAATAAATCACTGATTAGAATGTATTGACTGGCGTTGACTCCGGCGCCCGCGCCTCTCTCTTCTTTATTGACCCGTGGCTTTTAACTTTTTACGACTTCATTAATATATATTCATCGTTAACTACGCGTTTATTTAATGAACAACTCATGCAAATTCGATTCTTATCGTCTACGAATCGATCAGAGACACGCTCGGTCATTATTTAATTATGGAAATAACTAGGAATGGGCGGTAATTCGTTTCGCATTCGATTTAACCGAAGTTCGACAATCGGCCCAAATCCGCTTTATTTTGCAGATATTGGGTGCAAGAAAGATGGCAGTTGGTACTCTGTCGTTTCAAGTCAACCCTTAATTAATTGAGTTTAAATAACTCAAACTTTTAACGGTCATCAATTGCCAATATCAATAAATAAATAAAATAGTCTTTATTTCTTTAACGTGTCTTCTATGTACATCTTTTAACACAATCTAGTTTTCAACGAATTGTTATTATATGTGTATAATATTATTTAATACGGTTATAAAATATTCGGTCATTGGAAACTAGAACTAGACAAAAAAAAAAGTCGCTTATATGACAATACTAAAATAAATAATAATACACTTAAAATCACTAAAATCGAGAAATCCGTAAGTTAGAAATAAGAATTACTCGTTTACTAAAAATATTTGCCAATTACTCAATTAATTTATGAGAACCACATGAACCGAAATGCGCCGAAAGTTCGGCTTCAGTTTAAACCGCACATTGCTCATCCCTAGAGCAGACCAGTTGTTACCTATCTGTTGTTTGAGCAATTGTTTATGATATCTTTAATCGATCTACTCATATCAAAATTATTTACTGTCGTATAATTTTAACATTCGCACCGTTGACATTAACAATAGTAATAAAAAGCGTGTCATGATAAACTGTGAATTTAATTATAAATGCGGTATTTCTTGTAATTGCCTAAGGTCTTGGATATTGTTAATTACGGATTCCCTTTTTTATTTGTCTATGTAAGGGGGCGTTACATTGACTAAGTACGAATGAACTTTTATTAAAAACTAACTGTATCAGCGACTTTGTCCGCGTAGATCAGTTATTTTGGGTGTCGAAGTTTTTTTTGCAAACCGTCGCGTCCCATTGTTCTTGCAAGTTAATCTTATAAGATAGACATATAGAGATGGATAATTATCAATTTTTTCCATATTTCCCATTGCTTTTTCGTTTCTATTAATCACAAGGTTTATATTCGATGTTTTAGCCTATAGCCTTCCTTTATAAACGCTCTAACCAACACATAAAGCCTTTTTTCAATTCGAACAAGTAGTTCCTGAGATAAGCGCGTACAAACAAACAAACTCTTTAGCATTATATATGAGTATAAATATTCGCCCGTACATTTCGACTCTATTAAAACGACCACGCGGCGGAAAATTAGCACCCTTAGTGTAAATTTCATAACATCGATTGTATACTGGTATTATGACCGCAAAGAAGTACATTTGGCAACATTTACAATGCAATTCTCGGCTTAAATGCATACGTATTATGTAGATGAGTACGTATAAACACGGGTCGGGTTCAATGTGTATTCACCTTAACTTTCGTATAATTTGTATTAAATTGGCTATGAAATGACTTGATCCAACCTTTGATTCATAAATTTTAGTTCCTTAGGGCATTGAATTGTAATGAAATATTTGCGTTTAATGTAAAGGGATAAAAATGCATGTTAGTGTTGTCTAAATGTATACATTATCTTCGCATATTCCTTCTTTCCCTATCTATACTAAAATGGGGTGTGGAGGGGCGAGCTTTTATTTGTGCCGAGTTTACTGCCAAGTAGTCTCTATGCCCTGCCCGACCGAAATTATTATGTTTCCGAGCATCAAGTTCACATGCTCACAAGCTACGGGATTCTCAAACCTCAAGCCTTTAAACTAAAAGATGGTTCCTGCAAAGCATCCGAAGCGTTGGGCTGTAATAAAAATAATTTCCAAATAATTTTAAATAATATATACCGCGTTTTAAATCATTAAAGTATTTTTTTATGTGTACTACTCGTGTAAGCTACAGACGGTATTTACCGATAATAATCCATCCATTATAACATTGACTCGTGAAATAAGATCGATGGATCAGCCGATTTAATAAGTCGGCCGCACATTTACCAACGGAAGTAAGCTTCTGCATTTTAAATAAATCAATGGGTTTGCTCTTCGCCCACCACAGTTCGTTTTCCATATGGAAATCGTTCGGTATTGGGTGGGGCTCCACTGAGCGATTCTCGCAAGTTTGTCGCGTTGCGTGCCTTCGCGATACTTGTACCTACTTACCATACTCCCCATGTAACTAATGCCCGTCGTAGGCGTGAATTAGACATTCACACCATCAGTTTAAAAAAGCCAACCTGGAGCGAAGAGAAGAGCAAATAAAGGTTGTGGCGCTAGAGAGAACCGTGGCAAAAAAACAATATACCTAATATTGACTTTTAAAACGTAATACAAAAAACATAATGTATCTAAAATTTATAAAAAGGCGATCTTGAATTTGCAGGTTCTTTCAGAACCTCAGAAATACTTCTAACTCTAATACACATGTGTAGGTACTCACTTTAAGATAGAATTATATACTTATAGAAGAGAAAGTAAGTCTTACGTTGCTTGTACATTTTGTTGTTTTTATTAAACACATTTAATATATAAATCACTTAATTTACTTTAGTGCTACCTGAGGCATGATTACCAATATACTGTTCTGATAAACCGAGTAATATTTGCCTCGCCCCTCTGCCTCGTTCAGTGGAGACCCACCTATTAACTAAGGACATCGTTTTTACATCGCCTTCCAATTATTCCGACATTTTATTAAGCGATGTTGATTGGTTAAAACCGCTTGAAATATTTAAATGAAGAGCGAGACCGCGCTTTCCATTTAGTATCGCAGAACCGGGTCCCGCGATATTCATTCATACTTTTGTTACTCAATTAAATGGAACTAGAACGGTATAAGTGCTTTCACCCCTAGAAACGGCAGAAATAACATAACCGGGCTTTATCCACTTTTTCTGGTTTGTAGTCAGTAGCTGTGTGACTGTAAGAAACGGTTTGGCCTTTTGCGTCCTTATTTAGCCAAAAAAGTGGTCAGAATATAATAATAAATTACAGCATAGTAAGTATTATAACTTACTGTACCGTAAAAAATAAAATTCCACCACTCACGGGGTATGGGGCGAAAACATATCTGAAGAAGAAGAAGAAGAAGTTGATCAGACCTACCCGACCCAAATATTTTTTTGATTCCCTGGGATTCGCACCCCAGACCTCTCCCCCCTAAACGCAATGCTAGGAAATACATTTAACCATTTGTCTACAGGGGCGGTAACTGTTTTATGTCACTGTACCGTACCGTACAGTGGCATAAAACAGTCGTAATACTGTTTTGTATCAAAAGAGCCAACGAAACTTTCCTCAACATACCAAGATGTGTATAAACAAGTGTATCGTTCGTCTCT